TGGTAGAGCCAAAAATGTGAACACCACACTAAGATGTTCTATGTGTCACAAGTCCACATGCAGAAACCTGTATCTCAGACAATTTACACATGTGAAGAATGTGTGGAGACACCTTCAGATGGATATGATTAGTTAGATGTTCAGATGTATAAAAATACTGTGTGTAGTCTTAGTAAAGTGTTAAAAGTTTCACATATACGTAAAAATTGTGAAAATGGTTTATGTAAAAGTCATTTTTCCTAATAAATGTCATTAATATATCGATTGATTGGTATTGATTCCGGGCTCGGCTTAGGCCATTAGCCAAGTACACAGTATGTTTAGTCCTAGGGAGGTGGCGGTTATCTTCCTTTACTGGATGCCAGATCCGGCCCTAATCAACATTCGGTTTGTGGGGTTTTCTCCAACCAGGTGTTGCACCAGCGGGGCACCGCCCCATCCGGGTCACGTCCTAAGCTCCCGACAGGACTCCCGGCTTGTGCGGTAATGTAGTGTGTGAGGATAGGACAAGGGAGAGAAAGAAAACATAGCACGCGGTCTATGGCCCGTTTGTTAGAGAATTGCTCCGGCACTCGCGCGGTGGTGTTCGGAGAAACCATGGAAAAATACTGATCGGGGTAGCTAGGTGCTATAATTCTCCTCCAGACAGCGACTCAAGCTTAAAAATGTCGCAAAAGTTGGTTAAGTGTCAGAAAGGAACACGGGTAATTAAAGATTAAGCTGTACGAAGCCAACTCTTTCACAGCAGCATGTGGTTTGCGTGACTTGTGTGCATGTGCATTGTCATGGAGCAACAACACATCAGCAGACAACTTCCTATGGCGCTTCTGTTTGACAGGCTTAAGTCAAGCCCTTATAATCGAAGAATAGGTGTCTCCAGTAAAGTTGTGTTGTATGGCATGGATTCTACTAACAGAACGTCATCTGTGTCCCCAAAATTAGGGGCCATGATCTTTCCGGCGGACTTCTGCACACATTTTTTGGGTGTTGGAATCCCCTTGCGCTTTTATTGCATGGACTCTTTTTTGGTGTCAGGATTCCGTTGGTGAACCCATATTCCATCCCCTGTTGTAATCTGTGAGTAAAAGTTATCTGGATTTTCTCTAAGCAAGTCCAAATTCTCTTTGGAACATTGCTGGTGAAATGCTTTCTGTTAGAGTATTTTTTTTCAAAATGTCTCTCTGTCCGCCCGTCTGTCCATTCGTCTTTGAACATCACTAGCGTATAAGTAATTCATGGATTGTTTTTATATTGATGAAACACCCCATCTCGTTCGAGTCAAAACTTGGAGATTTTGAAAAACAATCTTTACATTTCGGACTACTTTACATCTGGAACAATTTCAAAAATTTCTCGAAGTTTTTCTTTAAATTTCTTGTAAGAATAGAGTAAAATACATTTATAAAGGTGGCATAGGTTCAATTTTCACGGCTAACACTAAATTTTCGAAAATTGCTAAAGTTTGAATTTTTTGGCGGCTTCACATAAGTAAATTAGTATTCAGTACTTTCAATAATGTCATGTACAATTTTTTCGATACATTGAGTAGTTTTTGAGCAATATTGCGTGCAATTTTTAAAAAATATAAAAAAAGAAATTCTTAGAAACGGCTCCAATTCTTTTGATAGGGTTAGTGCTAAATGCATTCTATGTGATGACATAAAATTCATTTAGCTTTATTCTTTTCTTTTTATAAAAATAAGAAAAAATATATTGTTTTCTTGTTTCTCATGTTGTTAATATGTTTACATAAATGGTAATTAGTTCACATTTTTGATTTATGATTACATGGGCTTTAAATTATGTCATAAAGTTTCTGGAAAACTCAATAGTTTTTCTGTGGCTTGCAGTTCTGAATTATCACAAACACTCACTCTTTTACTCAAAAATGGCTCCAAATTTTTTCCTCAACATATTGTTAATTACACTGATTAATATGACATAAAGTTAATTTTGGTTTTTGCTTTTGTTATTTCAAAAAATACGTAAGTGTAGTTTTTTAAAAATATCTCTCATGTCGTTAATAAGCACATTTTCAGCTATTTGGAAACACTGTTGCATTTATAAGGTAAAGTACTTCATATTAATTCTAAAGAAGTTTATACAAAACTCAAAAATGCTCCCTGAAAAAATGCATCATGTTTGGCAATTTCAATAACGTTTAAACGCCATTTTCTTAAAAAACTGCTTTAACTTTTTCAAATAAAATTGCTATTAAGGATGAGATTTCTTCCTGGTTTCGGTCCTTGATACCGAAAAATTAATTAACTGCAAAACGTCCGCCTGTCTTTCCGTCCGTCTGTCTGACCGCCAGTATACAGAGAATGATTTTTTTTTCAAATTGAAGAAACCTCAGTCGATCTGGCTCGAGTAGAAGCTTTGAGATTATGAAAAACATTTGGCAATTTGTTAACACTATTGTATTTCTATAGCTATTCGACCTTGCCACATACTCTTGCCTGCTACCATCTGCCGCCCAAAGTACATTTTTTTGAAACTATCTTAATTTTTCGGTTTCCTAATAGTAGAACATAAATATTATTTTAAGAATATTAAAGAACACGAAAACCTCGTTCTAAATAGCAATTTTCTTTGAAACCGTTTATAAGAAAATGACGCTTAAGTGCTACAGTAAATTCAAAATTTAAACCTCTTTTTCCCAGAAACTTTTTGTGCCTTCGAATATATTCATTTGAAATCATTTTATGTACTTTAACTCACAAATACAATTGTGTTTACAAATTACGAGAAATGTTCATGTTTCCGACGTGAGAGATCTTTTAAAAATAATATATTTGTGTAATTTTCGAAAACAAAACAAAACAAAAAAAAATACCCCGAAATGAATTTTACATCACATTAAAGAGTGCAATTACCACTATCCGTTCGGTATGTTTAAAGAAAAAAATTGAAACCGTTTTGGGAAAATGGCGTTTGAGCGTTTCTGAAAAATCGAAAGTTTGACCTAGTTTCACAAAAACGGTAGAGTTTTCGAGAAACTTTATCGGATATTACTTAAAGCACATGTACTCTTAAATACAATAATGTGAAAAAATTGCCGCTAACATAAAAATTAACATGAGAGACGAGTCAAAAAATTAAATTTTTGTAGTTTTTGAAAAAACAAAAGAATAGCGCAATATGGCGTTTTTGTCATATAATAGAGTACATTCAGCACTATCCCTACCGAGGGTTTAAAGAAAAAATTTGGAACCGCATCTAAGAAAATTTTATATATGTACTTTTTTTTTAAAAAAACGTACATATTGCACGCAAGTAGTAAAATTTTCAAAAAGTGTACTTGACCTTAATGAAAGAACTCACTATAGAAAACATATTTTATTTGAAGGAATGAATCTCTATCTTCAGCTGTATTGTTGTAGGAAGACACCGAATATATATATATATATATATATATATATATATATATATATATTATATATATATAATTTCGAAAATTCAGAGTTAACCGTGAAACCGGACCTATGCTACCTCTAAGTGTCTATATTACTCCATTCTTCCAAAAATATCGAAGAAAAAATGAGGAGCCGTTTTTGAGAAAATTTTGAAAATGTCCGGGAGGGACATCTTATAAAGGGAGGGGAATCTTGTAAAGTATCCCCAAATTTTAAGGATTTTTTCTTTCAAAATCTCGAAGATTCGACTCGAGCTAGATCGACACGGTTTTCTTCAATTTGGAAAAAATCCTACCCATTGTTAAGGGGATAGAAGTGTCCACGCACGGACCGACGGACAGATGGCCGTTTTAAAGCAAAAAACACTTTTTCTGTTTTAGGGGACCCGTAAACGCGTATATCCGTCGAAATCTATTTATCGCAGCATTACATAACTTTTCCTATACTACGTATATTACCCCGTATATATGTGCGTATACGGGAAAACAAAAACACACTATCTACGCTCGGTCACGGGCCTCTTCAGAGGAATTCCCTAATTTTGTCTCGAGATGTCAACTCAATGCAGGTCCGATACTTCGGTATTTCACATTAGGAACCTATTCCACGTGAGGGGACTTTACTCTAATGCTTCCAGCTGCTGCGAGAGCGAACCGTGAATTAATGATTTTGCAAATAAACCGCTTTAGTCGTCGCTAGCCTCGGTGTACACAGAAAGATAAACCATCTAAGTGTTAGGATGAACAGATAATAGGTTTTTAAAAATGTGAATCAATGTACTTTGGGCAGCTATAGATGGCAGCTGGGAACAGGGGTAGGCAAAACCTAGAAGTTATCCCAAACGAAAAACAAATTAAAAAACTTACTTGTTCGAGAAAGTCTGCGCCATCTCAGCTGACAAGCAGATGGTTCACGTCCGAAATGCTAGCCCCGGCCAATGAAATTAGGAAACTAAATAGAACGAGAAAGTCTGTGCCATTCAGCACTAGCAACTAGCCAACTAGCACCACAAGTTGAAATAATGAGATTGGCCATTGTTTTCTGACATAACTGATCATTAACAACACAAAAGCACAACATATTTTGAAAACCCAGGCCAACAATATCATCGGCTTGTGAATTGAATTAATGCCCTTTTTTACGTGGCGAAACTCAGGCCATGATGCCTACTCTTTCGTCTGACCACGCAAATATAGTTATGTTCCTTTCCCCAACAAGCAGAGAAACAGACGGTATTAATGTATACCAGAGGGTTCATTTAAGCTTGGCGATCTTTTACATGCGGTAAATCTAACATGGGACAGCCGGCTTTACTTCCCCTCCGAAGGAAGGCATACGAAGAATTTGTTCACCTTTAAATGTACACGACTTCGATCGGGTTTGAGCCCTCGTAACTTGGGTACAACAGTACAATACGCTAACCGTTTCACCATAGCCGCCGCAAACCAATACGATGATTCAGCTTTCTTCGTAACCGCCGCCGCCGCAGCCTTTTCCGGGGGTGCCCACGTGACCGTCTACTCTCCGCCCGTGCCTCGCGGCGCGGCGCGGCGCGGCGCGGCGCGGCGCACGGGCGTTCCCCGTGAGGTTTGTGGCCAGTGCGGTGCCGCGCGGCTTCCCGTGAGGTAGCTTGGTGTGTGGTCGTGAAGCAGTTGGAGGGACGCCTCCGCCGTCGTCTTATCGCCCTGGCAGCGAAGTATTCAACCGGTTTCTCTCTCGAGGTACGTGGGCTCCACGTAGCTATTATCGTGCGCCCGCATTTCGGCCGCAGCTCGTCCCTTTCCTCGGTCACTTCGGGAAGAAAAAGCGCTCGAGCGACGGAAGTGTGGTCAAGGGAGGGCGGTTGCTCGGAACAATTCGGCTGTCAACATATGAAACATGACATGAAACAACAACATGAAAGTATGGCGGTTTATTTATATTTGTTGATCGTTTTATTTATTTGGGCTGCAAACGATTTTGTGGCTCTCAGCATCCAACTCTTATCATATATTGCTTTACTAAAACCATTATTCTCCACTGAATTTGTGTTAAGTATCGTTGCAGATATTGTAGATGTACTCAGTATATTTTCCCCTGAAGATATTTCCTCCATCAATACTTGTTTAAGAAAAGGACAATACGAAGCTAAAATTTTGAATTTAAAGAGAGGCACTTGCTTTCACTTTTATGTATACAAGCGGAACGCGGCAGACGTTGTTCTGCCCTCTATATATCCCTTTCTCTCTTTCGTTTCCCTCCTCTCTCCCAACCCCCCCCCCAGCAAAAAAATGTAATAGATTGTTGAAATAAGAGTACATCCTGTAGATTATGGTGTGAGAAACGTTTCTTTGAGACATTTGGTCTCAATGTTAGTTTTTAATGTCCTAGACTAGAGTGCTTCGTTTTGGAGTTATTTAACGGCGTAGATTCGAAAAATCCTGTCGAGTGCATTTTATATGAATATTTAATTTTGTTCTACAACGCCATCTAGTGAATTATTCCGATAATTTAATAGTTATTTTGCTATTCGGGGCGGACATGAATCCTACAAATCAGTGATAATTAAAGTTGGTCCAGCCGTTCTAGAGATATAAATGCTGTCTGTAACTAACCCGACTTTGTTTTATATATATATATATATATATATATATATATATATATATATATATAAATCTTCCTCTTAAGTATGCCCCGTGTTCCGGTAGAGCATCCAGCAGTAGTCGTCCATCATGTTTACGTTCCATCGACCCTGATATCTTTTTCCATCTCCTTAATATCTTGCTGAAAATATTCGCCTTGCTCCTCGATCATCGCAACATGATTTTCAGGAAAGAAATCCAAATGTGTATGCAAGAAGTGAATCTTGAAGCTCATCCACCGTCACAAATCTTTAAAGTTCAACATGTTTTTAATAATGATTTCATAATCCGGGTCTTTCTTGTTTTCCTAGGGAGTCCTTAACCACTCTCTCAAAGGAAATCCAAGCTCTTTTTTCAGCATCTGTAATCGTGGTGGTAAATTCATCTAATATAAGGCTTCTCATGTCTGGTCTAACGAAAATTCTTTCCTTTATCTTGGCTTCTGAGAGGTATGGAAACGTATCACAGAGATGTTAAAAGCCATTCAATTTCTTGGCAGAGTTTAGTTAACTGTTTCATGTGTCCTAATTTAATATGCACAGGTGGTAGCAGTATTTCCTTTGTATCAATAGGACCTTTCCTTAAAATATGACTTTGTGGTTATGAAGTAGTTCCTGAGGGCTATTCTGATTGGTCTCAGTGGTTCACTCTTGCATGGCTGTCCCTTTCACAACGGAAACAAGGAAATTTTGTATACCCAGACTATTGTCCACGAAGCATGCCCAAAACCTTCAGGTCTTCACTTATCACCCAGCCGTGATTGTCGTATTGTACTTAAGTAAGGATCAGTTCAAGATTTTAGTATTTTTTTTTTGTGGTGAACTGAATACCTCATAGTTTTTGGAGCTGTCTAATAGCACTGTTTTTAAACTTTTTTATGAATCCATGAAAAGAAGCCAGTCATCCAATTCCTTTGCACATCACTATCTTGGACGTCCGTGGTTTACACCCTCATTTCATCCCACAAACAGCTACATGCTTGCATGTGGAGGGAATACTACAGAAATGGTGTCACCAGTTTATAGATGGCGTGAGTTAAAAGTTCGTCATATTGCCGCCTAGAGGAAAACTGCAAATTCTACCACCAGTTCATATATGACATCACTAAACTGTATGCTAAGTACAGAAAGCTGCCAGTGACCTACTGCACAATTAAAGTCAATTTGTGAAACATCTGCGCGTGATGGAGCATTTCTAGTTACATTTTCGATTTCTGCGTACAAAAATACATAAGGGGCAGTGGAAATTTTCAAAAAAGTTTTTTTTATTGCAGACCTGTGTTATTAATAGTACTTCTAATTGTTGCTGCAGGAGCGAATCAGTGAATCAATAATTTTGCAAACAAACCTCGTCAGTCTGCGCAAACCACGGTGTACGCAGAAAGAGTAAATAGTACAAGATAGAGGAATCTAAGCCTTCTAAGCGCGATGTTACAAAGATGGCTACCATTCCCAAGAATTGAAATATAGTTGGCATTGATAGTATTCGATATAATAAGTACCGAACGAACAAAAATTTAATAGAATGTCCAGGAATGTCTCATCTTGTAGATTACAATATGACGAATGTTTCTTTGAAGCCTTGTCTTCAAAACTTTAGTTTTTAGGTCCCTAAAACGCTTTGTTTAGGAGTTATGTAACGATATAGTTAATTGAGAGCTGTGGGTTGTGTTTGTCATGAATATTTATGTGCGTTTTTTAAACATGTCCTTTATATTTTTAAAGTCAAAGTGCAATTCGTCACGTCGCCGTGAAATTCTCGTTATTTAGAGATCTCATTTATAAACATCGATTGCGTGTGAGCGCCGCAAAAGATATGTATTTTATTATAGATGATAATAATATTAATAGTAACAATTATGGTAAAATAATAATAATAGTAATAATAATATAAACTAGTGGTGCTACAGACTGGCACATACTTTCCCCTATTAGTTTTCTATTTTCATTTGTCTCTGCTAGCTATTCGAACTTGCCACATACTATTGCCTGCTGCCATCTTTCGCAGCCAAAAGTACATTTTCTTCAACTTTTCTTAATTTTTCGGCTTCCTAATAGTATAACAGAAACAATATTTTAAGAATATTAAAGACCGATAAAACCTCGTCATAAATCGCAATTTTCATTTAAAAATTGTGAGCCGTTTTTAAGAAAATGGCATTTAAGCGCAACTGTAAATTCGAAATTTGAACCTCTTCACAGAAAACTATTGAGTTTTCGAAAAACTTCGTACGAGTTCATTTCAAGCACATCCAGCAAAGCAATGGTGTTTATAAATAGCTGGAAATGTGCATATTAGATGCGTAAGAGATCTTTCAAACAATTTATATTTGTGTAATTTTTGAAAAGCAAATGAATACAGCAAAATTAATTCTATGTCATGTTAATCAGTGCAATTAGTACTAGAAAAACTTGAAACGGTTTTAGAGAAAATGGCGTTTGACAGTTTCTGAAAATGTTGAATGTGTTCTGGATATGACCTGTATGGTCTAAATCCTGCTTGATATTCTGGAAATTTGGGTTCTAATTGCTCTTGTGTTGTCTTCAGGAAACACGCTGATATAATTTTGTATGTGACTGGTTGTAGAGAGATACCTCTATAATTGTTTACATCTCGTTTGTTGTCTTTTTTTATGAAATGGTGGATTAGAGATATCTTCCAATCATCTGGAATTTTCTCGGATTGCCAAATGCTTTGGATTATTTATGTAATTTTTTTGTGTGAATTTGGGCCTAAATGTTTTAAGACTTCAGCTACAATTCCGTCTTCAACTAGTGCTTTCTTATTTTTGAGTTTCTTGATGTGTGAGATTTCTTCTTGTGCTGGTACTGAAGAATTTCCTGGTGTGATTTCTGGTTCTATTTTCGGGAATCTCTCTTTGGTTTGTAGACAATTTAGAAGCTGAAAAAAGTAACTGGCTAATTCTTCCAATTATCTTTATTTGTTAAGGCTAGTTTACCATTTTTTCGAAAGCATAGGTTCTGTGGTGAATGCCCTTTGATTTGGTTTGCAAAAGTCTTATAAAAATGTTTGTTGTAATTTTTAAAGTTGTCATCGATTGACTCCAGTCAGCCATCGATTCTATTTATTTATCTCTTAATATTTGGGACGTTTGTTTGCGAATTGAAAAAAAATCTCCTGTGCTTCATCTGATTTCTTGTAATTGTAATTTTGAAAACGTACATTTTTACATACTTGATTCTATCAAGGGCGTTTTGGCTTTTGTGAAGAGGGATCAGTTCTTTCCCTATTTTGATGATTTTTGCTTTGAAATTTCTGCCAACTTTCTGCAGGTATTTTTTCCCTTTTTTCTGTGATTTTGGAGTCTTTGAATTTGTATAGATCGAATTTTGGGGTCATTAGTGATTTCCTGTTCAATTTGCTTTTGGGTGTGAATTTAATTTTAATTCTGGTTAAGTAGTTATCTGAATCAAAATTGGCACCTCTGCGTACTTACGCATCGTGCATTTCCTTTCGGTAGTCGTTTGATATTGGCTAGCTTTCCCCTACGCGGCCCCGGGAGTATAATATTATTTTATCCACAAGAAAATCCGTGCCAAACTGTGCCGCTCCTTGGCCAACTCTCTTATTCGTTCTACATTTGAAGATTCTGTAGTTATTGTAGTCTGTCGTTTCTGAACCTGTGAAGCGTTTTTCTTGCAGGGTGAGAATTTGGATTTTCTGCTTCATGCGTTCTGTTGGGAGATTGTGCAGTTTTCATGTTTGAATAAGCGTCTGAATGTTTTGAGCGCCAGTGTAAGTGTGTGTTTTCCGAAGTTTACCAGAGTACTTCGACTCGCTCTCTCGTAAAAGTCCAAGCTCCCCTAAATACGAACACGTGGTTGCCTCTTTGGGTTGGGTGGATCGACCACCTGAGGTAATTTTGTCTTTACGTGTACGAGACATCTTTGCTTTGTAATTGAATTTTTAGCTTTTGCTAGTGGTGTAGAACCAAGGATTGAGAGTTCATTGAGCGGGTTTGTAGCCAAACCGCCTGGTGAACTGACGCTGACCACACTGTCGCTGTTTCAAGTCAGACGCAATGTGGATATTTCTTGTCATTTTGGTCCGCGAGTGGTATTTTGTTTACCACCTACCCC